AGCAAAATGTCTTAGTGTTTGACTTATACTGAAAATCACATTAGGTTAGGTTATTTGAAAAAGCCTAGAGATTTACATATACAAACTCTGTAACCTATTTCTAGCTAACATATATGTATGTGTGCCTGATCAAAGACCAGCAGCACTCCTGGGTTACTCAATGTATTGACCATTGTAGTATTCTCACCTGTGTGGCAGTCTGTTTTTCACTAAAGTATAATTATTATTGGAATGATTTTGTTAAGTAAGTTATACTTTTAGAGATTATTTATTAAGCAGAATCTCATGTCACAATTAGTTGGAGTTGGATTCCTAAGCCTATGGCCTAAAGTCGCAGCCTCTTGAACATTGCAGTCTACTAAGATATGTTAAGCATGTTCTGGGTAGAGAGATGTGTCACTTTAGAGATAAGTTCTTGTTTACTGGGTATGTTCAGGTTTCAAAAGTTGAGACAAAAATAAGATTTCTTATTAGAAATTAGCTTAATCGAAAACATATCAGAAATGCATTTAGACTGTAAACGCAGCTTGTTGAGCACTTCGGCTACATCCCCTTCAAGAAGTTGTCCCACTTAATCTGCTCTAGTTACACTTTGTTAGTAATCTGGGAGGAAATGAGAGTCATGCATCTTCCATAACCTTCCTTCAAAAATCACCAAGCTGGAGAGAAGTGAAAAATGTGTTTTTTAGACATTGATACAAGAAAATATTAAGTAGGAAAAAACAAAATAAAGCCAAAGGGATAAACATCGGAAGGTTGCTTAAACGGCTTGGTCCTATATAATTGCTTTCCTGTCAGCAGGATTATTAACAATTTCAGACATCTGAAAATTAAATTAACAGCCTGAAAATATTTTACAGAATGAGATAGAGTGTGATACATGAAACATAATGACCCCACTGAAATTCAGCCAAGCCAGTGCAGCTACTCATTTATACAGAGTAGACAACTAGTTAATCATCACTGAGCAAATTAGACAGAGCAAATTAGTTTGCTACATTCCACAGGCTTAGCTACCAAAAAGAGTATATGTCACTAATTAGAATGAAAGAACACTAAGCATATTATTATCTATATAGAAAGAGAAAGCAAGATTGTGGCTTTGAATTGCTCCTTTCAAAGCTTGAAGCCTAGGTTACGTAGGTATAAATTACACATGCAAGAGTCCATGTATATGTATGTGTGTTAGTGCACATATTTTAAGTAGCCGACAGCCTTTGCATTTTCTTGCATCTTGACCTAATAAAGTATAAAAATGTTGTCCAAGGTTGTTTGGAGTTCTTTGGGAGTACAAACACACCAAGTGAAACATGAAACATTTTTATAAATATGATTCCTTTCATTGAAGATCAAAGTAGCCATTTCATACACTTTTTCTTGCATAATATTAAATTATTTTTTTCTTTTAAAAAGTGTATTGCTGTTGCATGTGAAATAAATATTTGGATTTAGTTTATCACTAAAGATTAATCTGAAATCATATTTTCTAGCCTTAATTAGCATTCATTTGCTTAATTGTCATTCGCAGCCCCATCATTTCCATTTTTCACTAACTTGAACAATGCTATCTTCTGCTGTTTGCACTTTAATTTAAATTTCTATTAAGGTTTATGAACAGTAATAAGGTCCTGTTTGAATATTCATTAGCTTCTGAATTGTGAGCTATGAAAAGGTGCTTTCTTTTACCTTAATGAAACTGGCACAGCATGGGACTGATCAGTTGTGACATTTGATTTGAGGCATCCAGTGAATTTTCTCATTGTTTATTGACACATCTTGTCCAAACAGCTCCCTCGCAAGTGAGCGGAGTAATGAAGGAGAGAGTGCTGCAGCGGAGTGTCGAGCTTTCCTGGCAGGAACCAGAGCATCCCAATGGAGTCATCACAGAATATGAAATCAAGTATTACGAGAAAGTAAGTGCTAAGAGCACCTGAAATGTACAACGTGCTGTGTGTGTCTCATGTCATCCTACAGTATTGTAGACTAAAGTTGGTCATTATGCCAACAATTTGGAGCCACTTCAAACTTTGTAGTTAATTTTAGCCATCTCTGTGAATCTCTGGCTCATCATTATAACTGCGATTTCTGTGTATTGTTTCTATGTTACACAAACGAAAATATCCCGTTTGTAGCATTTATATTTATTTATTCCGGTTTCGATATTGTAATACTCAGATGTAGGACATTCTAGTCCCACAGAAACCACACAGCCCAATGCATTTTTGAAAAATATTTTCTTTAGTATGTCTGTTTGGGCCCTTAATGATTTATTTAATTTATGTAGTTTAAGTGATGATTATGCCCTCAAATAATTTAGTAATTTGAAATAATGAGAATATTTTGTATAATAAATATGTAGTTCTTCAGACTTATAAATCAGATGATGTTATTTCACTCCTTTAAATTCCTCCTGAAGTTTTTTCATATATGTTTTAATAATCATGCTACTTATTTACACTTCTCCTTCCAGAAAAAGTAGTATGGCTAAAACCCAACTGCTGCCTTTTTAATCTCCGTATAATGACTAAATCTTAGTAAATAGTGATATATGAGCATATGAGTATATTTATTTCTATCTCACTTGGAAAGAGAGAAAAATGTTTATATAAACCATGTTCACAGATCATGATTTAAAACTCCACCTCACAAAAAGATTCGGTGCAAGGTTTGAAACATGGAAACCATTACTATTACTATTACTAAATAAATTTTAATTTATTAAAATTAAAATTTTTATTGAAATAAAATATTTATTACTATTTAAATAAATAGTAATAAATATTGCTATTACTAAATAAATATTACTAAATATTACCATTACTATTACTAATACTAATAGTAATAGTAATAAATATTACTATTTTTGGCTTAACTGAGTTACCTGAAGTGCTATAATACACATAACCATTTTAACTATTTAGACAATAGAATTAGAAAATAGGAGCCTAAATCTTTGAGAAAACTTTGGGGTTGAGTTGACATGATTAAATAAATGGAAATGTAAGTATATAGTACATTGACAATAGATACATTGCGGTTTTTTGGAAGAAAAAGTAGTTTAAAATATGATTTTGTTTTGATATTCAGATAAAGTTTACAATATTTTTGCTTGTTACTTACATGACGAATTTATGACTTCATGGCTAAGGTTGTGTTTTATATACTTAATTTCTTGTTCCACCAAATATGTTTTAGAGGGAATTATTGTATTTAATGCTGTTTTTGTTATATCTGTTTTCCCATGAGTGCTAACAGTTATAGTTCCAGCTCAAATTGTATCAAATTCAAAAGCAATGAAACACATAGGTGGTAAGATTAAGGTTTCTCACAATATAAATCTGAATATTTTGCAAATCCTTTCTCTATAATAAATCTATTCAAATAGTTTATTTTTTTAGCATGACAGAAAAAGTGTCTACATTCACTAAACTTGCATATTATGCAATTAAAAGACAATAATAGTATCGTGTTGTATTGTATTGTAATGTATATGCACGCATGTATGATGTTTGTGTCACCTGAGTTATGCCTAGGTCTTTCATTTGAGATAAATATATATAATACAAACTATCATTTTTATAAATGATTAGATTGAAGACAATCACAGATCAGTTTGAATAAATCAAATTTAAGTATATATTTATTTATACTTTTGCAAATCTCAGTGTGAAGGCAAATCAAACAAATAGATTGAAATTTTAAGATTTCTATGAAGAATTTTGTTGCCAAAGTTGAACACAAGTATTTGTTATAGACCAAAGAACTCTCTAAAATTGTATATTTTGAAGTATAATTTTTACAACTTTATTCATAAATAGCCTATGAGAATCACATCAATGAAGACTTAAATTTTCATTTATTTTGATGGAGTTTTTATATGCTTGAGTTTTTACAATTGTTTCCTTATTATATATGCACATAAAATGTATTTGATGGTGATAGAATGAAAAATTGTTAAACATATAACAGTTATTTTAGTAAACTCTGCATGTTTTTATATCTGAAATATGAAAAAATTAAATTAATCATGTTTAAAATATTGTCAAACCATAAATCATATATATTTAAACTTTAATATTTATAATTCTTCTGTGAAAATATTTCATTAAATACTATTTTGCAGAGTGGTTTATTCTATGAGAAATTCAAGTTTATTTTAAAAAATTGGTAGTATAGTGGCAGCATGTCAGTATAGTGGCAGTGTTAACTGAATTTCTCGATTTAATACTTTTCTGTGTTTTTAGCATCTTTTTTTTTTTTTTTTGCTTGCTGAAAACTTAAGAGAACTACAGTATGATGTGATAACCTCTACTAAACTATAGACTGTACAGGTGTACCCACTCTTTAACTAGTAGGATATTTTATTATATTATGGCTAAATAGTTCTTGTCACATGTCACCTGTGCAAAAGTTAAAAACACCATAAATGTTTAAACTAAATCATTTCCCCCTAAATTTATATAACAAAGCCATGTGTTTCACATTTTCATTTTATATTACCTTAGAAGCAACTTAATGCTATAATATTCCACAAAGTACAATGTTGCCTCTATAAAAACAATGGAACAAATTGAATTAAATTGAAACAGTTGGCTGTCAGATTGTCTGGTTGCAATCACAATTAAATATTTCCTCTAAATATTGTTTCTAGGATCAAAGGGAACGGACCTACTCAACAGTAAAAACCAAGTCGACTTCAGCTTCCATTAATAATCTGAAACCAGGAACAGTGTACGTTTTCCAGATTCGAGCTTTTACTGCTGCCGGTTATGGAAATTACAGCCCCAGACTTGATGTTGCTACACTAGAGGAAGCTACAGGTAAAATGTTTGAAGGTAATTATGCCTTTGGTTTGGATTCTTACACTCAATAACTCTAGCATATATTAATATTTACTTAGTATTGGGGTGATCATTTGTGTCTTCATGATTTTTACATGTAAAAATAAACGTGTACATATACGTGTATTTCATTAAAGTTCCTAATAATAATTTAATATTTGTTGTTTTGTTTAGCAATTTTAGAACCTTGTGATTTTGTTTCTTTAACGCATACTGGATTTATTTTTTGAAAATGGTGAAGTTAAAAACAGAAGCAGGACTGATTCAATTTGTGTATTGACACAAGATGTTTTTGTCGACCTCAAAACAATCTTATTTTAAGTGTGTCCATCAAGGCTGCTACTTCACAGAGACCCACAAATAAAGCCAGAATGTGTAGTGAGGTTGACAAGATAAACATTGTATCTAAGAACCTGCATTAATTTAAGTTACTTGCCTTTTAGCAATGATTTCAAAAATTAGAGTTTAGGAAGATCTTAGAATTTATATTTGTTTTTATTTTTGACATTGTTCATTTTTGTTATGGAATATTCATGCGTACTAAAGAATATATTTAAAGTATATATAAAATATATGGGAGATAATTAAATGAATATCCCTATGCCCACCACTCATCTTAAAAATAGAACATAACCAGTACTTTTAAGCCCCTTTATCATTTTATGTTTTATAATGCATCAACATTATAGTAAAATTGCATGTGTATATAGTGTAAAAGAAGTAAGTACATGTATCTTGGGATGCATGTCCCCATTTGCTGTCAGAGTGCAAATTCAGAACACCCTAAATACGATGCTGGTTGCTCCTCAACAGGGCTGAGGTCTCAGTACGTGTTTCTGTATTTTGGGTTTTGATTCCTCCTGATGTTACTGTTCAGGCACATGGTTTACCCGGCTGTTACCTATTCTCCTTGCCAATCCAGCAGTCCTCCAAAATTCTAATCAAACATGATTTGGAAAATGTTATGTGACTTTTCTCAGTGAAAAAAATTTAAACAAATTAGATCAATACAAGTTTGATTATAAAGTTATTTTGACTTTGAAGAAAGAATTGTATAGATCTTTTAAAAGGTATGCAAAAATATTGCATGTTCTTCACATGTACCCCAAAACCTAAAATGTAATGAAATAAATAAATGAGGGAAAAAAAAAAGGTGGAGTAAATTTATAAATATCCTTTGCATTAACTAATGCTAACAGTGTTATTCATCCACATATTTTGTTACCTTTAAAATAAATCTGTAACTCTCATAGCCACAAATAATAAAATGTATGTTGAAATCATTTTGACATATAAATCATTCATATAGAATTGTAGACATAAAGGCATCAATTTAAAAATTTGCTGCATAATTTGATGTGGTGAACATAGTATCATTTTTTATAATTATTCTTTTTAAATAGATTATGAAAAATTAAGGATCAGAGTATCAAAGTTTAGTGTTCCCCAAAACATTAAAGCATTTTAAGTTAAGATTTTAACATTTAAACGTTTGAGTGGTTAGTGTTAAAATGTGCTCTGGAGGTTTTCAACTCAGATCTATATGATGATATCATCTTGTGAATTCAAATGTAATCAGATACTTCACATTATGTTTTTTTTTTCATATCTTAGTCAATAGTTTAAAGTTCATATGTCAGTTATCTCACATTTACCAATTTCTTATTATTTAAAAACACTTTTAGGTTTCAAAAGTTTCAAGATGAATTTATGCCTTTTTCTGACTTTGTGTCTAAATTGAGAATATTAGACCAAACTATTGTTTAATGAATGCTGATATTCATAGATATTGTTTTTATTATTTAAAAAAATAAGTAACCAAGACTTAGAGATTAGTTAAAATAGTGGAACCCGAAAGATCACATGAAATGTATGCTAAGAATGGATTTTCTCATTAGAATTTGGTGATTTTCGCTATCAATATATTCTCTCCCACTGGAATATAAAGTTGATGAAAGAAGAATCCATATCTTTTTTTCTTACTGTTGCCTTGCCTGTGCCCACTGTGGTTTCAGGCACACAAGGCACTCAGTAAATTAGCAAAAAATGAATACTTCACACTGATCAACAGAGAATGAATTATTAGTATCAATCCCTGCCAGTAGAGAGGTGTCTGGTTTCAAATCTCTGCTCTGCCACATCCAGTTTGGATGAGCGAGGGACAGAGGTACAGATCTCTGTACCCTAATTTCTAGAATACTACTACTCAACTAACAAAATATTCTGAGGTTTAATTAAGTTGATATATACAAAGTATCAAAGATAGCCCCTAACATGGTAAGTCTCAAGTTTAAGCTCTTATTAAACACAGTCTTTCTCAAACTTTTCCATCCCTGTAGCCCTTTTGCTATTAAAAAATATTAAGGATATCAAAAAATATTTTATATTGGCTATAGAAATTGATATTCACCACTTTAGAAATTAAAGTGGAACCTTCAAAAACACAACACACAAACACATGTTATTAGCTATCAGAGTCATGGTATTATCATGCCATATACCTTCTGAAAGTCTTAACTGAACACTTGTAAGCAAATGAGAGTTAAAAAGTCAGATAACATCTTCATATTATATGAAAATGATTTTGAACTTGCAGACTCTATGAAAAGTTCTTGAGGACTCTCAGGGTTTCCCAGACTACTCTTTGAGAACCACTGAGTCAGCACAAGATTCTATGCTAAGAATTAAGCAGGCACAGAAACACATAGTTCATAATCTTTATTGAAAGTTTATTGAAAGAGAGGGGCAGGTACACATATTCTGGCCACACAGTTAAGCATTGGTGGAATGCATGGTCCAATGTTATCACCATGTCAGGGCACAGTGACTCGCTGTGCCAGAAAGCAGGGCAGAACGGAAGATGCAGCCTAAAAGAAGTCACTTGAGCACTGTGTAAAGAGAAATTTGACCATCCCTTCCATTGCACATACATTCTAAAATCCCCATCTATGCAGTATCAAATCTACTTTTTAGAGTTTTTAAACCGTGGTATTCTGATTATAACCTTAGCAAATTACTTTTAAAATGTATTGCCCATGAAATATTAACCATAATGTCATTTATGGAAAGATTCAAGAATGACCCTGACAATATACAAAAATGTATAAATAAATATTCACAAATTGTGATTCATCATTCACCTGAGTTCATTTTTCTCATTAGGGTTCTGTTTCTGAAGCTAAGGGAAAAACTGATCCTAAGACAAACAGAGAATTAGGCCCATGGGATACATTGATTAAATGGAAAGAATTTCATAACATATGTGTATAATTTTTTCTTTCTCACGACTAGAACAACTCCATTATTTTCCTTTCTTAAATTGTGTATACAAAGCAGATTAAAAACAAAAAAACACAAATTTTTTAAATACTTGAACTCATCTTTTCTCTATTGTGTGATAATAGGGTGTAATTCAGAAATTAGTATTTGAAAGTTGTTTTCTTCTGTTTTTTTTTTTTTTTTTTTTTTTTTTTTTAACCTTTTAAAGTTCCCTCAGGGAGCAATTCAGCAGGTGATAAATTAGAGAATGTGTATAATCTTCTTTGTTCAGAAAGTATCTATTAGACCAGAGCTGTTTTTACTGTTTTTCAGTACAGGAGCTACCTCTTGTTAGCATAGGTATATGAAATTAAGATATAAATTGTCAAAGGGAGATAGACAGACAAACTAGAGAAAGGCCAATCTGAAAAAACTTTATATTTCTTATTGTGGCAAGATATGTTTTGCTTTCCTATGAATTACTACTCTAGCGATCTAGTCCCTTGCCATTAACAAGAAGGAATGGTATTTTCCATCCTGCCTTAAAGATTGCAGCTGTTGATTGTTTCAGAGTAAGCAAATTATATTAGTTTGACATTATATGTTATATGATATTTGCAACTGTATCATTTATTGGAATATTGATTTTCATTGTTTCATAGGCATTTGATGATTTTATAAAATCTGCATAGCTACTAAAAATATAAGACTCTGGGAAAAAATGACAGTCGTGAATCACCAGTTTGGAAAACTAGAAGTGATAAATACAAAAATTCTATATAAGAGGGTGTTTAAAAGACATGCAACATGTATTTGTTCCCAAAGAGACTGTCAGAAAGGTTCAGCTGAGTTTGCCTTAAAGAGCATGGAAGAATTGTTTAGTATTATACAGGAAGTGTCTGCAATTAGATAATGATAGTGTTTTTTAAAGTACTTGCAGAAAGTTTGATTTTTCTAAAATAGGCTAGCTACTTTGTAGTCTTAAACTATGCAATGTGTTTACTACATACTTTATGAAAATTAACACAGATAATATGGCTCATTTTTCCTGAATTACAGTGGACTATAAATTCATGATATTTAACTGTGATTACATGAAGCTTTCTATTAAATTGATATGAGAGATAAAGCATTTAATATGTATTAAGGTACTTTAAAAAATACATGAGGTATGTATTTTGGTTCTGATTTCACATACCAGAAAAAAAAAAAAAAAAAAGACACAAAGGGACCACAATCAAATGCCTTGCTGAGGAAAAATAGGGATTTAATAGCACTTTCAGGTCAGATGTGTCTATCTCTTGATTTATAACTAAATTTTCAACACTAAGTAGGAATGTAGTCAATCAATAAGACATTTATTGGTTTCTTTTATAATTGATAAATGGAAAATGTATGAAAGTGTTCTCCTTACCAGTTCTTTGAAAATGCAGAAATAAACATTTATTTACATGTACATTGTTAGAATATAATGCATTTATTTAAAATTAGAATGAATTAAATAGAAAAGATATCTCTAATTTTATTTAACCTCTCAATTTATTGCATGGTGTCAAGTATTTCTGAGCCTATTTCCTCTGTTTACAGCTACAGCTGTCTCCAGTGAACAGAATCCTGTCATTATCATTGCTGTGGTTGCTGTGGCTGGGACCATCATTTTGGTGTTCATGGTCTTTGGCTTCATCATTGGGAGAAGGTAGAGCACCAAGTTGTTCTAATCTCTAACATAAAATTTATTGCTTTTTGAGAATTATGTCAGCCTATTACTTAGTGTAATAGAATTTTAAATAGTAAAAGCAAACATTCTTTGATATAAAACATTAAAGGTCAATAACGTAGGCCGGGCGCGGTGGCTCAAGCCTGTAATCCCAGCACTTTGGGAGGCCGAGGCAGGTGGATCATGAGGTCAAGGGATCGAGACCATCCTGGTCAACATGGTGAAACCCCGTCTCTACTAAAAATACAAAAAATTAGCTGGGCATGGTGGCGCGTGCCTGTAATCCCAGCTACTCAGGAGGCTGAGGCAGGAGAATTGCCTGAACCCAGGAGGAGGAGGTTGCAATGAGCCGAGATCGCGCCATTGCACTCCAGCCTGGGTAACAAGAGCAAAACTCTGTCTCAAAAAAAAAAAAAAAAATGTCAATAACGTGTCATTCTTTCAAGATCAAAATGGAATATGAGTTTGATTACTGCCTTTAGTTTAAGGGGAATGAGTATTACAATTTTTATTGGGTGAATTTTTATTGGTCATTTTCAGAATTAAGTTTTCATAGTAAATGTAGAATACACCATAGTAAATATAGAATATACCTGTAGAATTTACCCTTTTAGTTACTAAAATAAATGTTTGTGGAAAACGTTTAAAATCTGTTTTTTTCCGAAAAGAAATATAAGTAAACATTCACTTGTGAATATTTGTGACTCATGAATATTTTTGTGAATTGAACCTTGTGGATTCAAATCATATATTGAATTTGTGTATTCAATCTAAATTTATTTTTTAATGCTCCTTTTGCATTGCATCACAAAAAGCCTTTGCTTTCTGTGCATTTTGTAATCGTGTGAATTACTATGTTATTACTAAACGGATTCATAACCATGAACAGTAAATTATTATATTTAATTTACAACTCTAGTAAGTTGCTAAGTAACTAAGGTACATTGTACTGAATTTTAAATATATAAAGTAAGATCACTGAGATTGTCATGAATTTGCTTTCCTACAGGCACTGTGGTTATAGCAAAGCTGACCAAGAAGGGGATGAAGAGCTTTACTTTCATTGTAAGTGTTTGGCTTTTCTTTATTATGATGTACCCCTATTAACAGAAAAATATGGTTATTAGCATTGGCATTAACAAAGTCCTCATGCATCATGCTTGAAATTATACCATGAGCTCAGAATGTTGCGTTAAAGCATTTGAATAAGATGTTTAGAATTAAATTCATGTGATGTGAATTTGAAAATATAAAATATATTCAGAAATGTCATATAACTGCAGGATATTCTGCTGCTTTTACATCACAATGTTTCCTTTTGCAAACTTTGCCCAAATGTTTCTTACCATGCTGATAATAATATGTTAAATGTTGCATGTGCCCATTCTCTAGCTAAGGAATGTCATTTCAGGTTACAAGGTTAGGCCCTTTTTTTAATCCAATGAGTGATGCTACTATGAAGGTCTAAATTAAGGAGCCTCTTTCTCTCCAGCTATTATAAACTACCTATCCCTGATAGATGTTTCACAGGACATAAATAATATAATAATAAGATTCAAACCTCTATTATTTTCCATGGATTTGAGTTAGCTTATTCTTAAAAATTCATTTTAGAAATCATATTTAGAAGAAAGCTTAGGGACCCAAAGAAAGTAGATGGCCATCTGCATTAATCTTATTTTTGTTGCAATGAGGATGGCATGTGAAAATAAAAGCACTGAGAGTAAATGTGATTACTTTATGTAGGCAAAACAAAAACCTAACAACCAAATGACTTCAATTCTGATAATTAATGATGTTCTGACCCAAATCCATTTTCCCATGTTTATCCTTGAGAATACTGAAAACCAAGTTTATTGTTATTCTGTAGTACCTATAATCTTTAGCAAGTGTTCTCATGTGTAGATAAATTTCCCATGATATAAGACATAAGAATTGGATCTTTTATTGTGCTATTTATTAGATTCTTATGTCAATATCTATGAAGATACTGTCCTGTAGTCATAAGATTATAAAAGCCTAAAGTCCTAAGATTATAAAAGCCTCCATCAAGAGTTTCTAATTCATTTTAGAATTTCTTTGTGATTCTTAAAAAAAAAAAAAAAAAAAAAAAAAACCTCAAATGACAATGTGTGATTTAAGTACAAAAATTGTAAAAGCTCTTATTCCTAAATTTTCTTAATGTGTTTGTATTTTTGAACCTACTGTTCCCTTTCGTTTTCAAAATAGAAGTGGTTTTACATAATACAAATCCAAATTGAATAAGAAATTCTCTTGAATCTCAGTCACTCATGGCAGGAAGAGCATGTGGGGTAGTACAATTTATTGCAAATTAAAGTTAATGGTAGGCCCAGAAGTGGCTTTATTATAAAGTTTAATATTCAAGGCCTCACTTTCACAGGCCATTTTTAGGCCCTGGGAGTGCCATAGCAATTTTGCCTATATGATCATGTATTCTTTTCCCTAAAAAAGTATCCTAAACTGTATATCAGTTAAGCCTCAAAAACCTTAAATATATCCCTGATTATGACTGAAGATGTGTGTTTCTATACCCCACTTGGGATTATTTGATATGCCCCCAGTGTTGGAACTTCCTTTTGCTAATCCGGCATTAATTTTTCTGTGACAAGCCTCAGTGAAGAGAGCAGCATAGGTAGTTTATAGCCAGAGGAAATATAGGAAAAAGTGGAGGTTACCCTTTTTTGTTTCTATTTAATGGCATGTGAGAATATGTTTAACACTTCCCCAGACAGGAAGGAGTGGATCAAAACTTGAATGCCTAAATTTTATTTCTGGTGTAGAATGTACATAGAAGAGTAACATAAGACTGTACTTCCTGGAATCCATGGTTCTGCCCATATGTGAATAATTTAATGGCACAATTATTTAATATTACCATAATCAGTATACCACTTTTATTTATTGAGCATATTTGAGATATCCCCAAATGATCACATATAGCAGTTTGTTTTTAACTTGCAGGTTAATATAGAAGTTCGGTTGAAACATGGCTTATCCAAAATTTGTGGTATAGCCTTATGCCTAATTGTCATCACTCAGTTTTAATATTTTTATGCCATTAACTTTTTTCACATTTCACATCCAGTTTGTAATTAGAAAATATATAACTGCATGCCTTACTTGCTGATATAGACAAGATAAGCTTGCTGTATATGAACAGTTTTCATCTTCAGAGAAAAGTAGCAATGGTGGTTTAAAGATGTTTGACTTTCATGAGAAATGAAAATAATATTTTAAAATGCAAAAGCTATTGCTCAACTTAGGATAAACCGTAATATTTAGATATAATGTCAATATTGTCCTTATTTTAAACATTCATTTTAAATGAATAATGAGAAAAATACACTTAACATGTCCTATCCTGGTTAATTCTTAATATTTTGAATCATCATTTTCCAAGGATATCTTTTCTTGTTGTTTGATTAAAACGAACTATTTGGTTTGATTTTATGATTACTTAATATAGAAAGTATAATACTATGGTAACCAGCTGTTTACAACTTGGTGTGTTTTTATTCCTCTATTTAGTACATGAACAATTTTCCCAGGTGCTAAAACACCAGACTGCATTTTCACAGAAACTTGAAAACAACCATTTAACTGGCTTTTAGAGCACCAAATTTAACAGAATGTCCAGTCATTTGTATCAGGTGCCCTTAACTCACCATGGCCCCAAGTGCTACATTGAAAGCTATAAACACAGTGGAGGAATTTAGTGAAGCAGTTCCCATTTACATTTTGTTTCCTCCTACCATTTCTTCTAACAATGTCTTCAAATCCAAGCTGGGCAGTATTTCATGTTTTTATGCCAAAATAGCTCTGGCCTGTCAAAATGTTTTATGACAGCTTGAATAAAGAACCATCAGAGACCATTTGAGATGCAGAAGGTTACCTCCAATCTAGCTCCCTTATCAAAACAAAATAAAAAATATGAAAGAAAGAAAGAAGATGGCTCATTCTCCATCTGCCTGCCAATCTAGGAGGTTAACCTATTGTTTTCTTCCCTTCTCTCTTTTTCTCTTCCCCCTTTCCCTGTACTCCTTCTTCTCTCTTTTCTCCTTCTATCCCCTCTCTCTTTTCTTCTCGTGTTTTTTTTTTTTTCATGTTCAGCTTTAGTAACAAATGAGCATCTGTCAGTTTTATAAACTGCAACAATAATTGTTTAAGACAATCAATTTTGGATAAACAATCAACTACAGCAGAATAAATCAAGATTTTTAAATCCCATTTTCCTTTATACATTCTGCTTCTTTTTGTTATGTGTTTATTTTTAAAATATAATTTTAATGTGATGACATAAGCACAGTTAGGCTGCAGTGTAATATATAAAGAAATATATTGTTCTCCAAATAGTAAGATTTGATGAAGATTGTTCAGTGGCTTTGTTAAAACAATAAAGTTTTTTTTTGAGGGTATAGTGTAATTTTTTTATTGCATTAATATAACCAAATATATGCCTATCTATCTTATCTTTGTCTTTTACCAAATGATTAGA